TTTCCTATAAAAGGGCTTTGCGGAGAGCTTTTGGGCAGTTTGGGGTTTTTAAGGCATGACCCACCTGTCTCCTTGCAGGGCCCTGAAGGAAACCTTTCTCTGTTCCACACTGATATTTTGGTACTGTTCGGTCTCACAATACCAAGGCCAATACCAAGGTATGGTATTGTCAGGCACACAAATTTGCATTTCAGTAATAGCACCAGGGTCTGCCTGAAGTGCTTTAAGTGTTATTATCTTGTTTAATGCTTATCATAAGAATTGTAGTACCTATGAGGGGAGGTACTGTTATTTGTTCTGTTACTGAGTCCAAGCTCACTCTACTCAGCACATGACAGGTCAGTAAGTCTACAGACAGGGTGTTCAGGCAAAGAATACGACTTTATTCAGAAAGCCTGCATACAGAAGATGACAGACTAATGTCTCAAAATAAAACCATCTTGTCTGGGTCTGGATGCCAGGTTCTTCTATAGAATGGGGGATTGGGGGGCTGAGAAAGCAAACTAAAAAGGCATATATTTTGCATATATCTCCTGGAATGGCAAGCCTGGGGAAGAGATGTGCTAATTTCTTCCTTCATATAGCCATCCACAGATCGACAAGTTACTGCACAAAAGCATTTTGGTTTAACATTCAGGCAGAGGGTCACGGTTCCCCATGGCAGGCCATTATGTATGGACAGTATCCTTTTAGTGAACGAAAGCAACAAGAAGCAAAGGTTAAAGTAAAAGAAATGGAGCCATAATTGGCTTTTCCCTGTAACAATTCCACTTTATAGATGAAGACATTGAGGTTCAAGGGACAAGTCATTTGCCCACGATCTCAGGGCCGCTACAAATGAGCCAGGATTGGAAGGGGGCTTAGACACCTACTCTTAAAACTGCCCCTTCACAGGGCATGGTGGGAATAACAGTTCCTGGCATGCTAGGTCCCAACCCTGTCTCCATGCCAGGAATCACTGGGAAATGTGGAAACCTGGCATCTTGACAAGCAAGCCATTGTCCAAGGTCCTAGTGCTTGACCCTGGCTGCATTAGATTCATTGGGAAATCTTAAAGAGATGCCAGTGCCTGGACCCCAGTCCTGCTCTGTCAGAACCTCAGTTGGGAGTTGGGGCAGGTATTGCTTTTTTTAAAATTCTCTAGACTATTCTCATAGCCTTGAAAAATGTACCCAGTCTAAAGCACTCATTCCTGGACTGGTAAAAGGTGTCTAAAATATACAAGACCCAATCATGCAACCCTAGTTACTTGATACCACAAGTTGGGAAGAAAGCAGGGATATATTGAGGGCCTACTATGTGCCTGGTCCTAAATGCAGGTCTGTCTCTCAGCATGTCCTCACCTGGTACCTCTGATGATCTGGAGGGGTTGGTGAGAGGCCTGAGGGGGTCAGGATGGGGCATCAGCTCTTTTCCCTCTCGTTAACCCGTTTCTGGGAAATGGATATGCTGACAACTTGAACTGTAGATCCAGACTGATCAGCCTGAGAACAGGTGTCTGCCTTTTCTGGGTGTGTGGTCTTGAGCATGTTAGTCAGTCTCTCCAAGGCTCAGTCTTTCCTCCCACAGTATGGAAATGATGTGTGTAGATTGTGCATTCTCAGCAGGGCTCTGTGTCACCAAAGGGATGACACGGGTTCTTGGGAGACAGACAAACAATTGTACTTTGTATGTGTAGAGTACAGATATACATGCAGTAAATAAACAGATATACAATAGATCTATGACACTGACAATGCATGAGAGTGGTGACAATTAGGCAACAATATCTAAAAACACTTCTGGGTCGGGGGAGATAATAAAAATAAACTTGGGAGATGCTGCTATAACTTAGAGTGGTTGTGAGACTAAAATGAGAGACGGAATGTAAAGTCCTTATGACAGAGCCTGGCACTCAGATGCCGCTCAATAAATGCTAAGTCATAACTGTTCTTTGTCCAAAGTTCATTCAACACTCACATACAGATCCCAACCATACTTAGCAGCTATGCAAAGCTTTATAGGGATTCTGAGGGAAGAAAAGTTACCGCCCCTGACTTCACCAAAGAGCTAAGTGAAAGTTGAGCACAGGAGGCTAAATGCTGTCATGAATGGTTGTACATAAGGCCTGGGGAACTAAGGGGAGGCCGTGGCTGAGTCCTTCATTTCCTACCTGTCTCCACTGCTGGGCTCAACCTAGACGAGAGGTGACAAGGGGCCTTCCGTCTCAGTTCCTAGCCTTGTCTGCAATATCTTCTGCTCCCAGTATGGAAGCAGGGAAGAGGCTGTCTTTGTGCATTAAAAGGCTTAGCACCTGCCTGGGGCAGGGGAGGTGATTAAGGAAGTCTTCACTGAGTGGAGTCCGTCACATAGTCAAAGCCACGAGGCCGTGAGAGGGTGCTGTGGGTGAGGGGCAGCACGCGTGGATCTGGGGTGCAGAGTGGTAAGTCATGCTTAATGGTCAAAGACAGCTGCAGCGCTACACTTCCCAGCCGACTCACACTCCGGTTTCTGTTCATTTGTTTTGTTTTTGCCAGTGACCTTCAGTGACTGCAGGGGGAATGACAAGCTGCACTATGAGGTCTCAAGCCCTTACTTCAAGGTGCACAGCGATGGCCGCTTAGTCGCCCTGAGGAACATATCTGCAGTGGGCAAGACTCTGTTCATCCACGCCCGGACTCCCCATGCAGAAGACATGGCAGAACTCGTAATTGTTGGAGGGAAAGACATCCAGGGCTCCTTGCAGGTAATGTAACCACTTAGGATAAGTTGGTCCAAGGAAGAACACTGAGATTTGTGTGTCTTATGTGGAAAATGGGTCTTTGGCTTATTATTGGTCAAGAGTCTTTTTGTTGTTTGCAAATGATAGAAACCTAAATCAAAGCAAAAGACAGCATGGCTAGGGGAGCTGATTGGGTCATGTGACAGAGACCTTAGGGACAGCTTTGCCTGCTAGCATGGCTGTGCATCCATGCCCAAATGATGACTTTAGCTTTGCTCTTTCTCCATTTGTGGTTCCACTTTGCTTCCACTGACTTCGCTTATAGATAGTCACAGCCCTTCCTGCTTTCTGGTGTGGTCTCAGCAGCCTCACATCATCTTCCCAGTCTGAAGTCGTCTCAAAGAGTATCTCCTCCTATACTGCCACCCCAAGCTTGAAATCAAGTCTCACTGGCTCTCCTCAGGGCATGTTCCCATCCCTGATTCAGTTTCTATGACAGTTGGATCCTGATGCTCTAGTTGGCTAAGACTGAGGCACATGCCTGGCTCTGAAATCAGGATGAGTTCAGTCCCACCTAAAATATATGGACTGGGAGTAAAAGAGTTAAGTTCTGAAACTAGGATGCTGTCATCTAAGAAAGGGAAATAGAGGCTGTGCAGGTGAGAACCACAGTCGCACGCCAGAGTTGTATGTGAGGCACCCGTGGCGTATGGTGCTGCTCCCTTCCCATGCACTGGTGTCCGTTCCCTTCTACATGCACCTGTATGAAGATCTCTGCCCCTGCACACATGTGACTTTAGGAATGCCACAAACTGCTCTTCAGCCTTCCTGATTGTGTCATCCCAGGACATTTGGTAATATGAATTTGCTTACTTCTCCTTCACTAGGAGCTCAGAGACTCTGTGGCTTTCTCAATTACAGAAAGGGAAGACACACAGCAAGACCCTGGCAAAATAATTACAATAATAATGGTGTGTCCCCAGCTTGGTGCGACTGGACTGGCCTTTTCTCCCACCTGCTGCTGGCCTGCTCTTACCCACTTTATCAAAGCCTGTGATTCCCACTGCTCTTCTCCATCTGTCACACTCCCCATAACCCTGCTTCATCTGCTAATTTTGTTCAGTGGTAGAGTGAACACCAATCCCACCGTTGGGGAGCAGAGACAGTACAAATGGCATCGTGAGTACTGCTCTCCTGCCTATGCTGTCTGTGTGACCTTGAAAGTGTCACGTCACTTCCTTATCTGCAGATGAGAGGGGTTAAACAGTCTGCAATGGTAAATGAGTGGCATGTGTGCTGCCCTACTCCACCACCATGTACGTTGCAGATATTGCTAATCACCCTGCTTGACCCAAGTATCTCTCCCAAGACACTGCTTCTGAAAGCTACTATCCATTGATCACTTAGAGATGTTTCTAGGGCCGGAGTATATTTGCTGTCCCTGGACTGGAAAAACTCCATAGTTTCTCTTTGTATCTGTGAATCTGTGAGTTAAGCGTAGGTAGAAAGCTAAACATGAATCCACAGAGTGCCACTGGTGTTCTCAAAAGAAAACAGGATCTTGGTGAACACATACCAGTGTGGAAACCCACTGGCACCACAAAAGAGAGTTTATCTCTCACTTAACCATGGTCATTTTCACAGCAGCTCACTAACTCGTGATATAAATGACTTCCACATGCCTAGCAACACACCTGCCAGGATGTGCAGTACAAAATGCTTCTTGGGAACAAGTAAATGGTACAGAGATTCACAGAAGGGGGTTTTGCATGTGGGATAGAATGAAGTTAGATGAACATTGTTATTGTGATTGACAGCTCATCTCTAAATCTAGAAAAGACAGTGTCATAGTATTTAGCTCCAAGCAGAGCAGACGGGATTTGAGACATTTCCTAGAACAAAACTTTACCTTGCTGGGCTTGGGGTCCTGGGATTGTTACCAAGAGACTCAGCCATGAAGAGCTGGTCACTTGAGTCCCCAAAAGAGCCCCTTCTAGAAGCCCAGCCTCTTGGAGCCCTGGCCATCTCCTATTTGTCTCTGTCCACAAAGCTTGCTTGCTATTGTCTGCTTCTTGTAAAGTATGGGGGAGGCTGTTGTGCCATTCAGTTTGCCCAACTCCAGCAGAACAGGTATTTATCTCCCACCTCCAGTAATTTTATGAGATTTTAAAATGGGCCTTGTGAAGTTGCCCAGATGTGTCCATAATAGAAAGGTCCAAAAAAAAAAAGAAAGAAAAACAAAAGAGAGGAGGCTAGGAAAATAAAATAGCTAGCCAGAGAATCCCTCTAAGGAAAGCACACCCCTTAATAGATACCCAGTTAGTATTTTTGAAGCCCTACTGTGTGTGGTGCAGCAGGCCAGCTAGAGAAGGAAAGCAATGAGTATAAGAGTAAGCCCAGCTCCTTTCTGGGGAGAGAAAGTGACCATGTATGTTGATTAAGTACCAATATGGAGGCGATGGTGATGGCTGCTCTGTGCTTTTCCAGAAGGGGGAGGAGGGCTGGTGAGGATGCCAGTGCTTACTTGGTGCTCACTGCATGCTGGGTGCTGCCTTCATGGGCCCCAGATGCTGATCCTTCTAATTCCCCCACCACCTCTGAGGCCCATGCTACTGTCCTCATTTTACAGACTGGGGTAACTGAGGCACAAAGAGATGAGTGAGAACTTGTACTGCTTAGCGGGACTCTCATGAGTGTGTGCGTCTCAGAGTCTGCCCTAATGTGCTATTTCGAACACTCCCAACCTCCCTGTGAGGCTGCTAATGGCACCCCCTTCCCACAGATGTGAGAACCTGCCAATATACCCTTGATTGCAGTTGGCGGAAACAAGATTGAGACTCTGGCCTCTCCACCCATTCATTCCCTCTGCCACTCTGCTTGCCAGCAAACTGTGCCACCTGGGTGGCTTCCCATGGATCCAAGGATGAGGGCATGAGTTAGAGCAGTATAGTGGCAATGGGGGAAAGACAACCAATGGAAGGTGTGGTTTGAAGGAACACAGAGCCAAGACCCAGCATCCCAATGAGTCCAGTTGTCTAGCTTAGGAGGACGGAGATGGATTGCACCAGTAGGAAAGGTGAATAGTCCAGCTTGGATGTGTTGAGTTGGCAGCTCCTGGGTACATTTGGATAGGGACAGGGCTGGATCTCCAGGTAACACCTGGGGGGAAAATAGCATAGTAGTAGGGCTTTGACTTTGGTATCAGACTTAAGTGAGTTCAAATTTCTGCTCCATCACTTAATGTTCACATGACTTTGGGCAAGCCACTCACTTCCCTGAACCTCCACATTCTCATCTGTGAAGCAGGGATAAATAAGAATAGTCTCAATCGCAGGAGCACTCCATTGGGAACAGCACCAGATAGCAGGTGACATGTCCCATCAGTAGCATTATTTTAGAACCTCATGAGAAAGGATAAGGAATTGTGGGCAAAACATCCTTGCTGAGGCCATGACACAGAAACCAGAGATTAGGGGCAGAAGGAGAAGTGAGGCCAAAGAGAGAAACAAGGGCACTGGGGCACCCAGCCCAACCGAGACAGGAGAGACGTCACAGTGGCTGGCTTCACATCATTGCATCAGGGAAGGACGGATTCTCTAAGACAAATGCAACCCCACTGAAGCCCAGTTCAGCTGCAGTAACTGAGCCCAACAATTCCTTAATAAAAGAATGTAAGAATGTGATTCTCTCATCCTACCTGCTTCCTGTGATCCTGTTTCACAGGAAAGCCTATAGCCCAAATCTGTGAAGTCTGATTGTTAATTATGGTTTAGGTATAGATGCTCTAGCTATTGCTGCATTGTTAATGGATTGCCCAGAAGCTGGTGCCTGCCTGACCTGTGTAAGATCATCTTAGATCTGTGTGGGTGGAGGAGCAGTTTCATTTTGACAGCCACGGGGGGCAGTTAAGGAGGGGGCCGAGATAACCATATGTGCACAAAGGTGTTTCCTAGCCCATGGAATGTGACCATGAACTTGATTCACAAGAATACGTCTGGATGGAACTGTAGCTTGTCCACACCAAATCCATTGTTGCTTGCTGCCTAGGAGTGGAGAACATGAAGACAGCAGAGTGTTTGCTTCCATTTACTTATTAATTAGTTCGTTATTTTTACCTTGAACATAGAGCTCCAAGGGTTTACATGGAAAAACTGTGTGTTTCATTCCTTTTGCATCTTGGATGGAGTTGTCGTTATGGGCTGTGTAAATGGGACTCATCAACCTCATTTACACGTTTCAAGTCTGGGAGGAAAATGCCACTTATTTATTTATGTATTTCTAATTTAAGAATTTGTAGCTTCCACAACTGTAGATTATGGCACTGAATTCTGACATCAATTAAAAACTCAATAAAGTCAGGCTGGGGAACTTCACAGAGCTTGTAGGAATTTATTTTGAATTAAGTTTGGGAGCTAAAGAGACTTTACCTACCAACTTCATCTTAAAAAGTGGGTTTCATGCTCTAAGCATCTGTAGAATTTAGATTCCTGTGACCCAGACAGCTGGATCTCATGAGCAAAGCAGGAAACATGCTTGTAACGGATGGTAGAGTTGTGGGGGCCACAGACTACAGGCTTGAATCAGGCTTCCCTGCCCCCAGCCTGGGGTATCAATGCAAATCTAATTAGATTACTCTTCGGCTTAATGGTCTCCCATCAGGGTATCTGGCCTATACGATGAATTCGGAAGTCTTTATATATGTGTGAAAAATGTCCTTTACAGTCTATCCTGATCTCTACAACCTTCCTGCAGGTCAGATTCCTTTTCATTTTTAAGTGGCTTGACCTGCTGAAATGTTACTTCCTCTAAGAGCACTCCCTGGTACCAAAGGAAGGTCTCCTCTGCTAGTCTCATTTCTAGCACCTGTTCTCTTCCTTCCTGGCCTTCTTCTCCATTGCTAACTAAACCTTTGCTTCCTTGTTTAAGTATTTCAAGTCTGGCCCTCTGAGAAGACTGCGAGCTCACTGAAGGCAAGAGTGTAGTCTGTTTCCTTTCTACCTCCCTGCCCAACCCTCACTTCCTTCTTTCCTTTTTTCCTTCCTGGAGTGTCCACTGATCTATCCTCAGCATCCGGCACAGTGTGGGCAGTAGTTGGCATTCAGTAAATATCTTCTGAATAAACACGTGAGTAGATTGAGTCCCTCCCTTCATACCATTCCCTTTGTTGAAATCTGCCCTCACCTCCCAACACCAAACCACGGGTGGCTTCTTGAGCTGGCCGAGCTCTTCCTCCACTCCCCTATCTTTATTATGGCCTGCTAGCCATGGCCCCAGCTGCTCCATGGCCAGTGCCAGTCGGCAGGGCTAACTCTTCTGAAGCTTCTGAACCTGCCAAGATTTCCCTTCTTCAGGGACACCTCTCTGTCTCCCCGGCTAGTATAGTGACTTTTCCTCCATGCTCTTCAGAGAGCCCTGCCTGCCTCTCCCCCATCATAGCATTAAACTCTAACTGTCTCATTTATCTGTGTTTGTTTTCACATCGCTCCCGAGCTCCTGAACCCAGGGCCCTGACTTCCATGCAGGGAGGCTGGGAACACTGCCCTGGAGCTGGAAGCCTTGTCATGGTTCCCAGTTCCAGGCTTGCATCTCTGCTCCAGGTCCCTCAGCTGTAGAATGGGCTTATAATAGTATCAACTTCATAGAACCGTTGTGAGGATTAAATGAATAAGTATATGCAAAGTATTTAGAGCAGTGCCAGGCACAAAGTGCGTGCCATGAAAAAACCTGTTATTCCTCCTCGTCATATCATCAGAGTCAGACTGTAATGCATGCACAATGAATGAGCCAAGCAAAGTCAGAAAACCCATTCCTTCCCCTGTTCCAAAATGACCAAATGCTATCACTTCTACAACCTAGAGAATTCAAGATGATAAATGAACTTAAATTTTCACCACTCCCACTCCTCAGCTGCCCACTTTATGTCAAACACTGACTAAACTTTCAAGAGACGATTCTTTATTCCTGTGGGCTTACTTAACAAACATCAAAAGGCTTGGCAGTATGTTGAAGTTAATTAAACAATTTAGACTTCTTAACTGGAAGTCAATGCTTGGTATCTTCAGTAAAGGAAAACTGGTCTCTTAAGTTGCTTAAATTAAATGAAAATAAAAACTATTTCCCCCTTTTTGTGGTCATTTTAAAAATCCCTGTTAAAAAAAAGATAAACAGAAAGTTATGACAGAAATTGAAAAGGCAAAATTCAAGGCTTATTTACCATGTTTAATCATTACCACCATAAACATGCAATTTATAAGACACAAGTTTGGCTCCTAATCCAGTTCCAAGAATTATGATGGAAATAGTTCCAAAAAAATGTAAAATTAAAGGAGCAATTAGAGGAAGGAACAACTTGCGAGAAAGAGTTGTTTTTATTTTTAGTGTTTAAAATGACAAATTATGTCATCAACTGATCACAAGCCAGTATTAATATTGCTGTTAATTATGTACCTTGACCTCTGGGGGTTCACACCTTTTACACCCACTGCTTTGCAGAGTCTTAGGGCTCCTTTGAGAAGTACCTCTTAGAATGGTGGTCCAGAGGCTCAGAAGCAGCGGCTGAGAGCCTGTCTGTTCTGCCCGTGCGTGTGCTCTGCGACACTTAGCTGAATCACTGCGGATGACATTAACGGGGACCTGAGATGACTTCAGATTGGGATTTAATCACACTCATGTTGCTTACCAGACATATGGCACTGAAAAGTCACCTAGCTCCTTTGGGTTTTGGTTTTCTCATCCATACAGTGATACCCTGGCCTAGTAGAAGCTCAGTGGGGCTTCTACGTGAAAGTATAAAAATACATACTGTACCTAACCCAGTGCTAGCAGAGGATTCTCAGTCACAAAGTGTTTATTCTTAACTGAAGAACCCAGTAAGTTGCTGTCATTGATTCATATTTTTTTTCCATTTTCCTAATCTCACACTTTCTAAACAAATATATTTTGCACTTTTGTTACTGAGATAAACTCTAGTTTTTATTGTCCCTGGCCAACCATTTGAATCTTCTCTATTTTGGCTTTGATATCATGTAACCTCTAAAGTACCTGTCACACTGCATCCATGCAACTTGACTTCATTAGTTTAAAGCATCTCTGAGAATGGGAGTGATTAACTTATAGTAAAAGTAATAGTCTTGTCTCCAGATGTTATCACACTGACATATCACACTGACTGGGAAGGACTTGGAGTCTGTTGAGTTGGACAATGGTATCGATCTTGCTCCCATGAAGTATGTTTTACAGCCACCATGGTGAAGAACCAATCTGTGCATTTACTGTGGCCATAAAGAAATGAGGAGTTAGAGCTGTAGATACTTAATATACTCTGATTTAACAAGTGTGATAACTTCAAAAACCTGCAAAGTACCACTGTTCAAGGCAAACACCTCCCCAGCTACTATTAAGGAAAATTAGTATCCATTTAACTGTCACCCAAATTGGGGAAAATATATAGCTTTAAAATTATGGTACAGATCCAAGAATTGGGCCTAGAATAGGGTATTAGGCTGTTACATTTTGACACACGACTAAATTGTTATGTTTATGATTCTTAGCTCCAGGATACTATTCAAATATAGATAAAAGACATCCTTCGATTCATTAATTTAAGTAGATAACAGATTGCTTTGTGGATCAGAATCTAAGAAAACTATATTCTGAAGATTAATTTTAATTGAAATGCTTGGGGAAAAGTAACTGATCCCATAGAAAGTCTAGATAACGAGAAGTAGCTTCATTGGCTTGTGACGACTCAAGATTTTATGTTGCACAGCAGTGTGGTCCAATAGAATACACACACATACACACACCAAATATATATATTAGGTTAAATTTCATAAATGTAGATATAGTCTCTATATAGATATATCTCTATGTATCTATATCTGTATACAGATACTCTCCATTGCTACAGTATATCTTTATTTCTCTTTCTACATATATATACACACACATGTAAATATACCTCTATATCTCTACATATATAACATATATACATATATATATATACATACATATATATGTATACATAGAGACAGATAGATACTCTCCATACCTATATAGATATACCTTTGAAGTGTGTGTACATATGTATTATATATATATAAATTTATTGTAACCTATATAAAACCCATTACATATTATAATTTATCTAAGGTATTTCAATAAGTAATGGCTTGAATATTATTAATAATTTTTTACATTCTTTTTACACTGAATCTTTGAAATGCAATATGTATTTTACAATTGTAGCACATCTCGATGTAGATTAGCTGGGTTTTAAGTGCTATCAGTGAGACAGGGCTGCCATGGAATTCTGCTGAAATATTTATATATTTTGAAGGAGAAATGGAAGGGGACACTCCCTGGGGGCCTACCACATGTCAGGATGTTCTTAGATGTTCTCACAAGTGCCTCTTCTTCTGATCTTCATAGCCAGCCTGTGCCATTGATGATCTGGTTCCTTCTTTGCAGTTACAGAAGTAGCCCAGGCTCAGAGATGCTGACTAATTTAGCCAATGTCCTATCTGTCAGCAAGTGGCAGAACTGGGAGTTGGGTCTGGGCCTTCTGATTCTACATAGTCCCTGCTAACTTAGTAATGCTGACATTTGGAACAGAACTAGTGCTTTTCTATTCTCCTGTAAAGATTGTGAAATGACACAGGAAAATTAAAGCATGGCTAGGAAATAAAAAATGAATACACAACTAAGCAAAAACTCCCCCAATCCCCCATCCTCCAAACATCCCTCATATTCCCACCAGTCCCCATGGCTTGAGGGGGCCCTTCAAGCATATGGACCTCTCTCCTCCCCGAGACCCCTTCTGGGGGTCCCATCCCACCTCCACTTTTCTTCCCTCCCTCCTTCTCTCCCATGTCCTACCTGATCATACAGGGGTTCCTCCTATCCTCTTAGGTGTCCAAGGATCCCACCCGCACCTAGTAGGTGCCCTAGTTGTAGAGATACGCTAACCCCATGCCTTCCTACTCTGCCGTCTTGACTCTGCCAACCACCTCCCTGCTCCCAGCACAAGGTTTCCAAGTGTAAATGTCTCTTAGACCCTGAGTTCCTTTGTTTCAAACTTATCTCATTGATTTTTATGGTCCTAGAGTCCAGGGAGAATGTCTTAGATTTATACTCTTAAAATTGTAATTTAAAACTATTTCCACATATGTTATATAGATTTGATACTCACAACCAAGGCTTGAAGCAATGGTGTTATTCTTGTTTTATGAGTCAGGAAACAAAGTCAAGATGTCATCCTCAGGTGGTAGAGCAATTCAGGAGGCACCTCAACTTCAAATTCACAGTGATTCCCTAGGCCCAGTGTTCAACCCACAGCTAGCGTTCCAACAGCCGCTTGGGGATTTGCAAGTAAACGGAATGTAGAATCACGGGAAAGAAATTTTCTAGTCTCTCAGATATTAGCCTCCTATCTTTTATTATTACCATAAATGAACTACAAGTGAATTCTAAGTGTAAATATTGGGGTGTTAATCTCTTGTTTAAACTCCCCTCTTGTCTGGCACATGGAGATATCTAATCACCATGGTCTTTGCCAATTGGCATGGCTGCTCTTTTTGGAGATGAATTGATGTTGGCAAATTTCAAACTGATTAGAAATTTTAAAAGTCATGTAAAACTAACTGAATATCCCAAGGAAATTTTTGGTAGTTGTAGCCCTGTGTTGTCATGACACTTTTAAAAAACTTTCCTTGTGAATAAAACTTTTGGAAATATAACTGCATGAAAATAGCACCAGATTTTCAAATGTAAATGTCTCATAAGCTCCTCTGTAGAAGTCTGGCTCTCAATTCTGATTGAAACAAACAAATTTTCAATGATAGGAGGACACAGTCGTTGATATAGACCATGGATTGTCTCCATTTAGTTCTTTGGTCTGAATACTTAAAAAATTCAGTAGCAAAGGAACATTGAAGGATGTATTACTTATTCAGTCTCCCTTAGCCAAGCACGTGGGTTAATTAAATTACATGGTCTTCATCCACACTTTTAAGGGAGAATCCTGAGCACCTGGAAAAAACAAAACAAAGCAGAGCATTACGGCTCTAGCCAACCATATCCTCCCTGCCCATGCTGGTTTCTGTGGGCTGGGACTGATCTGTGGTAGATGCCAGAGTGGCAGCTCCTCTGGGCCACACTTTGATGCTGTTTGATCCTCAACTCAATTGCTTGTTCAGACAAAGCCAAGTCTAGTCTAAAGCTATGACACAAACAGGAAGCACTTTGAACCTGCGGTCAGGGCCCAACCTCCTCAGGGCTTATTTTGTCTTGTTTCTATTACTGTTAACAGAAGTAGAAACCCTCTAGCTCATGCCCCCTGGGGGTGCAACATAAAAATAAAAATAATAATTTGTGATAATAATACAGAACAACAACAGGAGTGCCTACATTCTAGTAGGGTCCACAACAAGGGCAGATATGTTTATTTGCTGGATTGCTTCTTTCTAATAAGGCAAGAAATACCAACAATCAAAAAGCAAATACTGTGTGTATGTGGTCATCAAAGTAATTTTTTTACAGGAAATAGATTTTGGTAACACTTGCTTTTCTTTCTCTATCATACAAAGAAAGATAAAATATCAAAAGAGTACTTTAAATAATACCCCATATACAGTTTCAGAATTTGACTTATCAATAGCCTTACACATGGGCAAAGAAATTTCAAATGCTAACAAAGATGGCCTCTTAACACTCTTACAATTGCCAGTCTCCAAATACTGATGAACATAGGCAGTTGGGAGAGATCTTTAAATGGAGAAAGAGCCTCCCTAGGGGATAGAGAAATGCAAATATTAGAGGGCTACTCAAGGCCAGTGGGGTTCAAAAACGTGAGACTGTCTTTGAAGCAACAGTTCAAAAATATCCTCCTGGGTTAGAAGCAACCTTCAGTGACCTGAGCACATTGCTCTAACTCCATTGACCCCAGTGCTTTCCCTCCACCTTCTCCCCGTTCAGAATGGGAGGTTATAGTCTTCCTCACTGTTCCTTGTCTCTTCCACCCATAAGAGGAAACTGAACCTGAGGTTCAAGAGGGGGCTTCCCCTTCCCTTTTTGTCTACATGGTTTCTCCTGCCTCCCAGTCTTTTATGGAAATAAGATGGTTCCTTAAATTTCCTATCTTTGTGTGACAAATCCTTTTGACAAAAGGTGTGCATTGTCAAGCAACCCCCTCATCATATCAAGCAAATTGGACTTCTGTTGACAACAACTTTTTACAGCTCCTTTCCTTTGAAGTTAAAAAGCTATAAACAATGGTAGTTTTCTAAGAGACCCAAAGAACAGTTTGAATAACTATAACTAGGCTTTTCCCAGAGACCGCCCCTATCCGTCATCACTGTCATTCCAAATGCCCCTGTTTGCTACTGTTTTTCTTTTTTTTTTTTTTAACCTCTGCCATGAGATTTAAGACAGCAAATCAGGATGCATTATCTTTTTCCTTTCACTGTCCATTCTCACAAACCCCAGTTAATGCAGATAATTGAGGCTTGACTGCTTTTTTATTTGTCTCTTATTCAATTTGGAACTTGTTAGAAAAGCCTACCCCTTAACAGCATGATCATCAGTCTTATTTACCTGGTTTTGTTGTGATTTCCTCTTTCATTCAGGTCTTTGGATCATAATTTTTTCTACACAGAAAAAAAGAAAAAAAAAAACACACAAAAACAAAAGAAAAAAAAAAAAAACAAAAAAAACCCGAAAAACCCCCCACATATATATATAAAAATATATATATAAATTCTACATAAATCTTACAATTTTAGCATTGGTTTACTAGGTAAAGTAAAATTATATGCTTCCATTAGGGTAGGGACTGTGACTGAATTGTTCATTGCTATGAATCTAGCACGTAATATAATACCAGGCACTGAATAAATACTTACTGAATAACTAAACAAATGCCAGAGATGGAGTGAATATTAACGTTAATAATGCTGATCATAGCCAACATTTATTTAGCTCAAATTCTGTGCCAGGCACCTCTCTAAGCATATTTCTTACATTAAGTCATTTAATCATTACAGCAACCTATGAAATAGGTACTATTATCTTCATTTTACAGATGAATAGAGTAAGACGTGGAAAAGATATGTGACTTGCCCACGGTTATACAACTGGAATATTTCAGAGCCTTGCTTTGTACTCAGACTGTTCAAAAAGCATTTATCAAAATATTTTATCCTTTTTTGTCAAGATAGAGAAATATGAGCTGAATATTATCACTGGATATTAGTAGATTCAGATTGAATAGCTGCATCTAAAAGACCTGAAAAATAATCTGTGTCAGCCTAAAGAATGGCTTCTGCATGGCCCTCACTGATTGTGTTCATCCCAATGATGGAGATGCAGATATAAAGACATGATTTTTAATTTGTAACTATCACAGCTCTGGGGTCCTAACTGGATGATAGACTCAAGATTCAAAAGGGACGCAAGTACCTACAACAATGTACTAAAATTAATTAGGCAATTAATTAGCCCCATCTATAGGCCAAAAAAATTCTGGATAACAGGATGGCATGATGTGAAAAGACTTGGTTGATGAGACATTCATGATCATGGAACTGCAGCAACTTCCCCTCTACAGGTCCCTGCCTTTATTGCTACTCTGTGATTTTTCATACTTAATTTATTGCTCATCACTTGAGCACCACTCCAAGACTTCCATTTACCTTAAGCAGTAGGCCCAACCCCAATGCCAGCTCTTTTCTGCAGCTGGCCCTTCATTTCTTCCTGCTGTGACGTTTATGCCATCCAGTCTGAGCTTTTGTGATTCCCTATTCCACCTCTATTTGCCATGAAGTGATGGGACCAGATGCCATGGTCTTAGTTTTCTGAATGTTGAGGTTTAAGCCAACTTTTTCACTCTCCTCTTTCACTTTCATCAAGAGGCTTTTTAGTTCCTCTTCACTTTCTGCCATCAGGGTGGCGTCATCTGCATATCTGAGGTTATTGATATTTCTCC